ACCTACCCAGCAAAAGCTGAAGGTCAGAGCTGGATGAAGCTAGGAGGACCACATCATCCGCAAAAAGCAGAGACGAGATTCTCCTGCCACCAAACTCGACACACTCCACACCACGTCTGTGCCTAGAAATTCTGTCCATAAAGGTAATGAACAGAACCGGTGACAAAGGCAGCCCTGGCGGAGTCCAACCCTCACCGGGAACAGGTCCGACTTACTACCAGCTATGCGGACCAAACTCACGCTCCTCTGCTAAAGGGACTGAACAGAAAGCCACCCACCCCATACTCCTGGAGCATCCCCCACAGGGTAGAGCTGAGGAAAATAATCAAATAATCGATGCATCGGGATGCAGACATAAACGATTCTGCATCGTAGAAGAGTACGCCATAATCGATTATAGTGGAATGTAGTTTTGTTTTTTTAACGCGGCACCAGCGCAGCAACCAAATCTGTCAGAGTGAGCGTCCTCCACATTTACCTCCGCCTTAATGTGGTATTGCAGGGCTGAGCGCTAGAGTTGTCACCCAAGACCAAACCGGAACCGAATCAGCCCGACCGGTTCTGTTGGATTTGGGCCGTGAATTATGTTAATTGAGCGGGTTGTCGTGCTGCGCGCTCTGCTCGCTCGATCAGCGACCGAGAGAGAGAGAGAGAGAGAGAGAGAGAGAGAGAGAGAGAGAGAGAGAGACGATCGGAGGACGCTCCTCCAAACCGATGCTCCAAACACGCGTTATTATTTTCATAATTTCATTATTATTTCTCCTGGAAGCGCTCAGTCAGACTGCTTGTTGTAATCCGGTCTTGGGGAGGGGGCGGGGTCAGTGACCGCGGCTGCAGCATGATCGTCTGTCTCTTTTATTTACAGACACGGAGAAGTTAAAAGAAGAGAGAAATAGAAGATAGAAGTTCTTGTTCCACTTTATTCTTTTGTTTCATGATGATAAACTGATGTTAAATTCAGCTTAAAGAGAAACTGGGAGGAAGCTTTGGTTCATTTTAGGTTACAGGAGGTCTTGTCTCCTATCTGCTCCTCCAGAGACAGCATGGACATGAGGGCCACATGGACATGAGGGTCACATGGTGAGGGTCACACAGGACAGGTTAGTGGAAAGGTTTGTAGTTAGCTGGTTAGTGAAGGAGATCCATCAGCTGGGTAATTTAATCCTAATCCAGCCCACAGCCTTCTGCTGGTGTTATTATCAGGAAGAATAAAACACACATCTTAAATATTATTGGAAGTGTAGAATTTTTTTTTGTGTTTTATTTTCTGCATCAAACAGAACTTGATTCATTCTCCAACATTTCAGAAATGAACCACTGGGTTCAAATGAAATTAAGTCAAACATTTCATTTGGTGTTATTTCTGACACCCTTCAACTGTGGCATAAATATTTGACTCTAGAGCTGCTCAGAGACATTAAATACTCATATATGAACCCATTATGTATTTTATTATTACATTATGTGTCCTGTAGGTTTTCAGTACTTTTTTAGATTTTGTGAGTTTTTACAAAGCATGTTTTTCTCAGCCTGAGGCGTGGTGTTGAATGAGGAAACAGATGTTTTATTTTGTTAAATCTTCTTAAATGTTTAAATGTTTTGTCCTAACCTGTTGTGAATGGAGAGCTCTTGAGGGATGGCAGGTTGTGTCAATTACGTTTTAGATTAAAAAAAAAGCAATTATCTGACATCTTCTATTTATCGATGAAAACAAATCAATATGAAATAATCGTGATGCATCGTGATGCATCGGGATATCGAATCGAATTGAATCGTTGACCCCATAATCGTAATCGAATCGAATCGGGAGACAAGTGAAGATTCACACCTCTACCACAGGGTGCACCTGGGGACACGGTCATAAGCCTTCTCCAAATCCACAAAACACATGTGGATTGGTTGGGCAAACTTCCATGCCCCCTCCATCACCCTTGCAAGGGTATAGAGCTGGTCCATAGTTCCATGGCCAGGACGAAAACCACATTGCTCCTCCTCAATCTGAGATTCAACTATCGATTGGACCCTCCTCTCCAGTACCTTGGAGTAGACCTTTCCAGGGAGGCTGAGGAGTGTAATCCCCCTGTAGTTGGAACACACCCTCAGGTCACCCTTCTTAAAGATGGGGACCACCACCCCGGTCTGCCACTCCACAGGAACTGCCCCCGATGACCACGCAATGTTGCAGAGACGTGTCAACCATGACAGCCCTACAACATCCATAGCCTTGAGAGACCCAGGATGAACCTCATCTGCCCCCGGGGCTCCGCCGCTGTGTAGTTGTTTGACTACCTCAGCAACTTCTGCCCCAGAGATTGGACAGTCCATCCCCAGGTCTCCCGGCTCTGGTTCCTCCTCGGAATGCACGTAGGTGGGATTGAAGAGCTCCTCAAAGTATTCCTTCCACCATCCGACTATAGCCCCAGTTGACGTCAGCAGCTCCCCATCCCCACTGTAAACAGTGTGAGCGAGTTGCTGCCTTCCTCTCTTGAGGCGTCAGACAGTTTGTCAGAACCTCTTTGGAGCCGATCGATAGTCTTTCTCCATGGCCTCACCAAACTCCTCCCACGCCCGAGATTTAGCCACCTTGCGACCACAGCTAGCAACAGCCGCCTCAACAATTGCAGAGTGGAACAAGGCCCACTCGGAGTCAATGTCCCCCACTGCTTTCGGGACACGGTCAAAGCTCTGTCTGAGGTGGGAGTTGAAGACCGTCTTAACAGATTCTTCTGCCAGGCATTTCCAGCAGACCCTCACTATGCGTTTGGGTCTGCCAGGTCTACGTGGCATCTTCCCCTGCCATCTGATCCAACTCACCACCAGGTGGTGATCAGTTGACAGCTCCGCTCCTCTCTTCACTCGGGTGTCCAAAACATACGGCCGCAGGTCAGATGATACGACTACAAATTCTATCATCGACCTGCAACCTAGGCTGCCCTGGTACCAAGTGTACCGATGGGCATCCTTATGTTCAAACATGGTGTTCGTTATGGCCAAACTGCGGCTTGCACAGAAGTCTAATAACGAAACACCACTCGAGTTCAGATTAGGCGGGCCGTTCCTCCCAATCACACCCCTCCAGGTCAAGTTGTCATTGCCCACGTGAGCATTGAAGTCCCCCAGCAGGACAATGGAGTCCCCTGATGGAGCACTATCTAGCACTCATCCCAGGGACTCCAAAAAGGGTGGGTACTCTGAACTGATATTTGACCCATAAGCACAAACAACAGTCAGGACCCGTTCCCCAACCCAAAGGCCCAGGGAAGCTACCCTCTCATCTCCCGGGGTGAACCCCCAACACACAGGCAGAGTCTTGGGGCTAACAAAAAGCCAACCCCAGCCCTTCGCCTCTCACCCGGACTAACTCCAGCAAAGGAGATTGTCCAACCCCTCTCAAGGACTTGGGTTCCAGAGCAAATGCTATGTGTCGAGGTGAGTCCGACTATATCTAGCCAGTACCGCTCAATCTCTACCACAAGCTCCTGCTCCTTCCCCGCCAGCGAGGTGACGTTCCATGTCCCAAAAACCAGTTTTCTTGTCCGGGGATCGGACCGCCAAGGCTGCCGCCTTGGTCTGCCACCCGATCCACACTGCAGTGTGTATGTGCATCACTTATTTCGGTCCGGGTGAAACATGACCCCAGGCGATTGCAAAGCCATGAATTAATTAAACATGAATTAAATGAAGCCTTGAGGCAGAGAATTTGACTCAAGGATTTTTTGTACTCGAATTATTCGAGGTACTCGAGGAATCGTTTCAGCCCTAATTTTGATATTGAATCAATATTATAACCCTTCCACTGTTCTAATGGGTGTGACCCCGCGAGGAACGTCGACCAATGAGCAGGGTTGATGGTTTATCCCTTGGGTCCATGTGGCAGGGTTGAGGAGTGAGCACCACCTCACCCCTGCCATGTGGACCTCAACGGATAAACCATCAATCCTGCTCAATGGTCAACTTTCCTCGTTGGGTCACCCATAAAGACAGTGGGAGGCTTAAAGCAGTGCATCCAGGATTGACAATGGGCCAGTATGGTCCGGTGTTGCTTATTCAGTGGTGGTACGCAGTACAAGGAAGAAGGAAGAGCGGGTGCCTGCTTTAAAGCTCTCATTAAGAATGACTGCACCCTGGGTTCGAAAATAAGACCCGCCGGCAATATGAAATCTTGAAATCTACTTTGTCCGTTTCAGAATTGTTTGTGCTACGTTTTAGTTCCAAACAACAATGGTCAATAAAAGCTTATCAGTCAGTATTAATATTAGTTGTTTACAGATAAATTGACATTACTTTTCATTTGATTTGTGATCTATAAATGTACCCGTTTGAATGTTATTCTGAACACATTTATTTCTAAACTTTGCATCATAAGGTATCGTCCTTGTCAATCATATCTCCAATTTGAATCAGTCAGACTGCTCCCTGCGAATAAATTGTGCTTCTTCCTCTCTGTGTGTAGCACAGCTGCATTAAAAATCACTGCTGTGTTTGATTTTGAGAGAAACAATTTGAGCTGTCAGGAAAAAAAAAAAAAGACTTTTTACCCCGTGACAGAAATATATAAAAATAATGAAAGATCAAAGATCACACTTCCATCTGAAGATGTGGGGTAAAACATATGAGAAGAGCCCACCAAACAACATAATAGTTTATCCTTGTTTGGTTCAGGAGAAAAAAAAATATTTGCTTTCACCCTAATTAAATAAATTTCTGCAAAAAGTGAAGATTAAATTCTGAAAAACTGATTCTTGCTGTATTTTATTTGAACTGAAACTAGACAAAGATCCAATAAAATGTTTTAAGTACCCCAACTAATTCAGTATAATGGCACAAAAACCCAACCATCACCCATGTTTCTAAATAAGACAATTGTACACAATTACAATTGTAATTTCATACTTTAAGATAATGGTGTATGCTGTAATGAACCAACATTCAACGCCACATTCCTAGCAGAACGTGTTACATAACCAGACAGCACATGGAAAGCATTTTATAGAACCTACATGACTTCGAGGCGTACAGAGCGGGAATCGTTTCCAGCTTTAGATGTCACAGTGCAGGTGTAGTCCCCGATGTCCCCAGACCAGGTCTGGCTGATGGTGAGAGAACCCTGCCGGATGGAAACACGACCGCCGCTGCTTGACAGAACCGCCACCCCACTGCGGTCCCAGTTGAAACTGTAGTAAAGAATTAAGAATTTCATGTCTGAATAAATAAATAAAGAAACTAGAGCAGAGAATCAATACAATTAATCATGTGTGCACCTGATGTTAATCCTGGAGTCATGTGTAGCATTACAGTCCAGAACAGCAGTGGTTCCTTTGATAACACGCTGGTCAACTGGAGGCACAGAAATGACTGAGCGAGCTAAAAAAACAAAGCACCAACACAAAGCAAATCAGTCCTTTTACACAGCTCGTCTTTAAAACCAAAAACTGTTTAATTCTAAACAATGAGGTATTAATTCAGCTGCAGGGACTATCGGCAACATGAGCAACAGTGAAGCGTGGTTCAGAAACACTCAGACACCCACTCACACAACCCAGTGTATCACCACTGCTGCTTTGCCCCACTCAGGTGTTTGATAAGATTTGAAGATAAAAGGTTCACTAATGAAAGCTGCATTTACAAGCAGAGAAGAGGGCCACTGTTCTAACTTCACCATGAGTCCGACGGTGCAAATGGATGGATGTAAAGGAAATCACTCAGAAGATGACGACTTCTCGACTGGGCTAATACAATTATTTTTTTCATTGCAACACAAGCCAACCGCACCAGCAACCAATCGTAGAGGTGTTCACTTTCCTAACCTAATACAATTGGACAGGTATGGACAAACTAGTGTTCCGCATCAGTTTCAGTCTTTTGGGGAAATGTATGTTGAGCTGTTTAACGTTTTTTCTTGACCACAATATGTGTTTGTGTGTGTCTTACTCCACACGGTGAGGGTAGCAGATGCGTTGGTGGTTCCCTCAGTGTTGGTAGCGATGCAGGTAAAATCTCCAGAATCCTGGAAACTGACTGGCTGAATTTGTAGACCACCAGATTGCAGCAGCAAGAACCTGGGAACCTGGACAGAGCCGCTGGCTACAATCTGTGTTCCTGCAGAGTGAGGGAACAATAAATTAGGCTGGAAGGAAGGAAAGTTCGAAAATATGCTCAGTAGCAACTCATGCTGGTGCGCACGCTGTGGAGTGTGTGGTTTGGCACCTTTCCTCCAGGTAATGGCAGGTTTTGGAGCTCCATTGTTCTGACAGGTAAACAGAGCCGTGTCACCATCGGTTACAGTTTGGTCAGAGGGAGGGAATGTTAATGTGGGGGCAACACCTGAAACACATGGAGAAAGCATGAACATAAGAAAGGCAGAGGCCGAATACTAAAAGAAAAGTGTGTAGCTAAAGAGAGAAGGTTGGGGTAAATAGAGAAATGAAAATGGCAAAAGAAAGGATTACATCAACACCAGAGCAACCTCTCTGATCAATGGGGGTTTTATTTACTACCTCCTGCTACGTGCGTGTGCATAAATGCAGACATGAGCGGTGAGGAGGATGCACTGATGCTCTATGCTGTAGCAAATGCCCTCTGAACACACACAACAGTCCAGATGATCAAGACAAAGGATCATGTAGAAGTGTCATTGATTGACAGTTTCCTTTACTGAAACAGACATGTTGTTTAAGGCGGGGCTGTGATTTTAACGTCAGCACTCCAGTTTAGAGCCTCAACACACACTCAACCAACCAGCTCACAGTTTGTCATTTTCAAATCACTGTTATTACTACAGTTTAAGGCTGGGTGATTTATACAATTTTCCAAGCATTTTTCATCAGTCCAGAAACACGGTAAAGGGAGATATATTAGCGCAGGTGGTGTTTAGACATTTTAAAAACCTTACAATCCTTTTGACTCAGCGGGCAGAAGAAGACCACGAGGGTTCCTCATGTGAGGTTGTTTTTCTAGTTTTATTGGTCATTTGCCAGCAGGAAAAACCGTCTGTGAAGACGGTTCTCCCTGGTCCTGCCTCCCTCAAGGCTCCGTTATCCAGAGTTACCTCTGTAGTTATGCTGCTATCGGCTTAGACTGCTGGAGGACATACTGGTCACTTTCCACACTCCACTATCTTCTACAACTACTCACTAATTGTATTATTATCTGTTATTTCAGCTGTTAACTGTATATTCTCTCTAAGTGTTTTTCTAGTCAGGCGAAGCTACACTAGTGTTCTGCTGAGCTGTGGTGGCCTCATGGAGGCGGCCATCGGCTGGGACCATGCTGCCCACCACTAGACAATCTCCCTCTCCTGACAATAACACTTTGCTTTCTTTAACACAGAATGTGCTACTACTAGTTCACCTGTTGAATTAATTATAGATTCACTTAGATAAAGACAATAAAGTTTATCCCTTACTAAATAGAATATCTACTAAGAATTTACAATATATGTAGCCATAGAAACACCTCTTGGTATATATGTTGTATGTGTGTGTGTGTGTGTGTGTGTGTGTGTGTGTGTGTGTGTGTGTGTGTGTGTGTGTGTGTGTGTGTGTGTGTGTGCTCTGTCTTCTCGATCCCCAGTGAGTCATGGTGGATGACTGCTTATACTGAGCCAGGATCCTCTGGAGGCTTCTTCCTGTTAAAAGGGAGTTGTCCTCTCCACTGTCGCTGCATGCTTGCTTAGTATGAGGACTGCTGTGAAGTCTCTGCAAACTGTTGGGTTTCCTTAGGTAACTTTTAACTAATTGACATAATAAACTGAACTCAATTGGAATGTTTTACTTTGTACAGTTTCTTGAGATGACTCTTGTTGTGATTTGGTGCTATATAAATAAACAGAATTGAATTGATGGGTCACAATTGGTCCGAGCTACACATAAAAATAGGAGGCAGAACTTCTGCTCTATCGGTTTGCCTCAGCAAAGGTGCTAACCAATCACCTACTGGTTCAGGTGAGATGTGGATCAAATGTCTGAATCTAATATGAGAACACAAATGGAGGTTATGGTTCAGAAAGCGATTCTTAATGTTTTCAGTATTCAAATATGTTAGACTGTGGGCGTGAGACTTGTGGACTACTAGACTGGAGCGCTTTTATCTAACCCTTGTGGATAAAAAAAAGACTTTTCTGTCAATTATATGAGGCTTTTAACAGTAAGTTAGACATTATTTGCAATGTTATGTATAATTTGTACACTTACATGGTAAGAGAACAACAAGACTAACACATAGATAAAAATAGTTGCTCGTAAAAACAGCAAAAGCTCCGATGGTTGATGAATTAGTCCAGTCACACAACCTTACAACAGACAAATGATGTAAACACTAAGAGCAATACAGCATAAGCAATCATGTTTATTTAAATGTTTACGCTACCCATGACCATAGTGGCTGGTTCCAGAAACAATGTTAAGCCCCTCCCCCTTAGCGTGAGGAAACATTGTTTTGGATTAGAAAACAAAAACAGCTAAAGATCCTTTTTTCAGATATGGATTTTCATTTATTTTTGTAGTTTTTACCTATGTTCAAAAAATTTATTTTTCTGTAATTTAGTTGTTTTAGGCTTAAAAACGCAGTGAAAGTGCAAACTGGGTCCAAAAATACAACAAGGCAGTGCTGTGAGTGGGACATTCTGGCTTTACTCTTCAACAACGTAAGACAGCTGAGACCCCTGGTCAACCGTTACGCATGTTCGTGTCTGTTTATTACATTTTCTTGCCAAAATGCCAACATTCCCAGCCTGTTAACTGAGATGGTAAATCAGTTTCTGGATATTTAGAGAATCTGAGGTGTTGATTTGAGAACAGCAAGGAATTAGTAGCTGTGATCTTGGACTTTAGGGAAGCTCTGGTGTCTGTGTGATACATCAGTTGGTTGATATTTCATTAGCATCTATTATTTACCAATTAAGAATTTTAAAAATTTAAAATGTGTCATCAGATCCTCCTTCAGACTCAGTATAACTGGAAGATTTTCAAAGTAAAGCGGCCATCTTTTTAAAAAGTTATGAGCTCATTTAGTGATGGCCTTTCTGAAGTTATTTCCAACCAAAATCAAACCTAATAATTCTGTAATGTAATCAGACGTTCGCCAAAAAGCCATTATTGGTTATGATCAGGGGAAATATGTTTATGATTCATCGATAAAACTACAATAAATGTCCCAAAAGCAAAGATTCCCGTTGTAAACTGGAGTTTGTAAATAAACTGAATATATAAGCCAGTATACATAAATGACAGAACGAAGATGAAAAGTGAGCTCCGCAGGAGGACCGAGTCAATAGCAGAGCAAGATAAATATCACAAGCAACAACATTAAGAGCAGCCTTGTGGCACAGAGTGAAAAATCAGCCATTACAAGAGCAAAATTGGTGTGTGTGAAGGAGCTGCTGCTCCGATGTGTACAGTATGTGTTCGACAAACTCACTGGAAACAAGCAGCTCTGTGTGAGCCTGAGTCTCTCCAGCAGGGCTGCGAGCGAAGCACTGGAATATTCCTCCGTCTCCTGGCTGCACACGGCGCACCGTCAGCCCAGTGGCTGCGTTGACCTTATAACGGGGGTTGGCCAGTATGGATAGAGGCACTGCATCCTTGTACCATTCAATCCTGGGCTGCGGCACTCCTACATCAGCATAAATACATGTATAAAACAAATAAAGTCAGCTGACCTTAGTGCTGATGCTCCAGCTCCCACTAAAACAGCATTTTCTCTTTTGTCATCTTTTTCCTCTCTCTTACCCAATCTTGCTCTACAAATATGCATGTGGGCCTGATTAGTGTTAATAATGTATTGATTGGAGGATGTGGGTGGTGAAGTTGGGGAGGCAGGAGGGGCCTGAAAACATCGTGAATAAAAGATGTGGAAAAGTGCAGCAGTATCAACAGCCACCTGTCTGACCGACATGCCAGATATGACGGGCAGGTAACTCATGCAATTACTCTGTCTGCACCCTTCACCTGTGTGTGTGCGTGCACACGTGCATGTGTGTGCACGCAGCTTTTCGAAGGAGAGAGATGGACTTCAGACTTTCTCAATCTGTTGGTGTCAAGCTTTCATAGACACGCGTGAAATATTTTTCACTCCCTCCTTGTCTCACTCACTCTGTCACTCTGTCTTTTTCCTCACGTCTGCTCAGAGCCTCCATCTTTCTCTCCGTGCCTCCAGGCCTCTGCTATTTAATTACACTGCCACTGTATCAGATTACTGAAGAGAAACATGAACTCTCTAGCTGTGTGTGTGTGTATGTGTGTGTGTGTGTGTGTGTGTCTGAGAAAGGAAGAAGGTGAAGTCTTAAGGACTGTGTCCAGCCTGTTTTTATATGTTAAGCGTTTTCATGTAATCCAGTTAAAATAAGAACTGGTGCAAATTTCCAAGCCTGGTTGCAGCATATCAATAAAGTACAGCTGTGTCCAACCCCATCCTCACGTGGACTGGACACAATAACCTTCCCATAACCTGAACAGGAGGACACAAACTACAGAAGGACTTGAAATTTGAGATTTAGGGTTGACATGAAAGCATTCATTAGCACTCTGACCCATTTAGCAACCAACGCAAGCAGCGTTTGGGGCCTTAGCAAGCTTTGAATCGAGTCGCTGAAGAATTACACACGAAACACCTTCCCCTGACAATTTCCCTGTGCTGAAACCGAATTCAACATTTTAGTTAATTTTCAAAACAGACAATTTTCACCCAAAATCTTCACAGAAAAACACGACATAAAAAAGGCAAATGCACACAACAGCACATTTAATTGATTTCTTTTCTTCAATCTTTATTCTAGCTTTTAGGTCGCTTGTTTTCCGTTTAAAAAGTTTAATGTGGAAAGTATGAATGACTTTGTAAGAAATAAGCAACTGTTTAACTATGATGTGGTCCGTTCATGTTTAAAAGTCATAAAAACAAATTATTTATTATAGTTAGAGACTTCACACACACACACACACACACACACACACACACGAGCACGCACGCACACACACACACACACACACACACACACACACACACACACACACACACACACACACAGTACCTGAAGCCTGGCAGGGGATATCTATGTTCCTGTCGACATCTGCAAAGATCTTCTTTTTGGGTTGAACAGTCAGTGCCGGCGGTTCTGCAGCAAAGAGAAATCAGTCACACAGCAGTGGTGAAAAATGTCACGTATAATGAACACAAAATAACAACCTCACAACAAGTATTTACATTAAGGACTTAAAATTTATCTTCATAGCTCTTTGAAGTGCTAGAAACTTCAAAAATCAGGCTTTAAATTGATGGAAAAAATGCTAAATGAGGAGAAACCTAAAGAAGTCTCTCCAGTAGGATAAAAACACCGGTTTCCCCTCTTGGCTGTGAATAACCCGAGTGTTGCTGCACAAGAGGATTTCGGTCTATACTCTCTGTGGATTGACTTCCACACAAGCCAGAAGCAGTCTGCGGGTATCCCAGGGGAAACAATATCCTGTTGAAACTATTCCATTTTACTGCCAATAATGGCTCATTCTAAACACCTTCAGCACCTAAACGCTGACACAAGGTACCATTCAAAAGTCTCCTGATTCCAGCGTGAATCTATGTTTAGTGGATAACTTTCAACCTACAAGTGATAGAAAGTCAGACTGCTAGGTATGCTTCTATGAAACCTTCTAAAGCGGAAGAGTAAAGATGCGGGTAGTTAGTTTTAACCAGGTAACCCGTAAAAATGTGAAGGTGTCAAGTAACATAGTCCAAATACTTCATTACCTTGCTTGAGTAGAAGTTTTGTGTATCTCTATCTCACTGGAGTAATTATCTACTAGCCAACTTTTTAATAGCCTTGTCACTCCTGTTTCCTAGTCATTGTAAAAACGAGAACATTATAATGTAAAATAAATCTCATTTTAACGAGAAGCTTTCTTGCAAAAGTGATAAATAAAAGATATTTTAGCCATGAACGTTAATCGAAATGACGCGTTTAATATCTCATGACAGTGAGATAGCTCTGAAGGGTGAAGCGCTGATGTCTCGTGGAACGTTTGAATCTCATCCAGAAGAGACAACGGGAGAGGATATAATCAGAGACACACCTCCATCCTCCACAACAGAGAAAATGGCCCTCGCTTAGATTTCTTGTCCACATAAATTTGCAGTACATTTACTTTCTAGTAGAGGTGCAACTTTTGAAGTAAAAGTTGACTTGCTGTTTGTGCTTTTTCACATTTAAAAATTCTGAAACCTTTTTAACTTTGTACTGAATTGAAAGGTTCCAGTGGAGCGTGGCTAGACCAACATGCAGAGCAAAATCCTTTAACTTCTGCTGTCGCTTCTCTACATTTCTAGGCTAGCGTTTTGCACCTGTTACACCAGGGGCGGCATTAGGCCCGGCTACTTGGGCTGAAGCCCCGGATGTTTCATGGAAAGCCCCGGATCTAAATCGTGGAAGTAACATGCAGTACCAAAGTCCAACAGAGAGGGAGCAGCTGGCAGTAGTTTGTATACAGCCTGCCTGAGCCTCCACCACTGAAGAAGAAGCCCTTCAGCAGCCAGCTTCTTCTACAGTCTCTGCCTGAAACGCATGAGTGAAGATGGACATAAGGACGTTTTTTAGACAAAAAGTACAACGACAGAACCCCAGCTTTGATGAGACTGGTGTTGACTCAGGTTTGTGAGTCTTATTTGAAAATATTTGTTGTGCTGCTGGTTTGCCTAAAGTTAGCTTACTATCAGGTAAAGTTGTTGGAGAAAGAAAGGGAATATTTGCTATCATCTCACACTAAACACTAACAGGAACAACACTCTGCCCTGAAAATGCTTAATATGTAGCTTCAGATTAAAAATTATGTGGTACAAGACATATACGATGTTGACTAGTGCGTGTCACGTGTGTGTGTTCGCGCGCATGCGTGTGTGTGCGTGTGTTAAGCCCCGGATGTTCTTCAGTTCTCAATCTGCCCCTGTGTTACACTTAAACTGGATCCACATAATTTGTCGCCATTTTGCCGTTACGACATTTCTTGTCATTATGAAATATTAAACAAATATTATGTAAAAGGTTCTTATTAAAAGGACTTAAATGAGATTGTTACCACATTATAACGAAAAACATTCCTGTTATGACGAGACACTGCTCGCCCCGTAACTACAAATTAAAAGTTGAATTTACAGACTGAGTAATATGCATGTAAGGTTTATTTCAGACCAAACAAACAGAAAACATGTTAAATTAATTATAATAGAAATAACAATGTATGCACAGCAAATATTCCAAGAAAACATGCAAATAACTTGTTCTTCACACTGTAAGATCACTCTTAAAAATGAGGGGAAACAAAGAGTATAGTGTTGCCAGTGCAGTGTACAAGAGAGTGATGCAACATCATACATATTCTTAGTAGTAGATCGGGTCAGAAAACTGCAAAAAACAAGAAGCCGAATAATGAAAACCTTTGAGGCGGTCTCCGTCTCTCACAGAGACACACACACTTTTCTTTTTAAGAATCTTTTTTTTTTTTTTGCATCAAGGTCTGCTGAGTCCATCACAGCAAAAAATAAAATAAAAAGATCTGTACCAATGTATTCATCAGTCTCTACTTCTCTGATACAAATGAATCCATGCAGACATTTTTGCTGTAAGGCAGGCCTTAAGAGAGCTGCTGGTCTAATGAAGGCAGATAATGTGGAGCGAGTGATCGTAGAGGGAACGCAGAGAGGAAGAACCAAGCGGAGAGTCCAAAAATTGGTTCTAGATAGAAACAGGGGGAGGGGGGACATAAAGGGAACAGGAGCAGAATCAATATTCAGGCAGGTCTTCTCTGACTAAGTATTCTGTAGGCGTGGATGGTTCATGCTCTCTGCTTAGGTGCTCCTTTGCTCTGACAATCGCAGCAGATCAAAAAGACGGACAAACTGGGGAAGGAAAGTTTTGCATCATCAATCACATGCTCCCCGTTTGCCTGCCTGTTGTCTATGTAAGCGAGCGCACGGAGGACAGAAGTGGATTGATACAAGAGCTCTCTTATTTGAGCTTTTTTCCATGTTCTCCTATTAATTGGGGACTCCAGGGAGCAAAACTAATGTAGCTGTGGAGCAAATGGGCACGTGTGTCTTTGGTTCTTTTTTTTGTGATTGTGTAAAAGCACAAAGTACGTAAACAGATTTGTGTGTGCATGAATGATACAGCTGACCGTGACCACGACGGGCATTTTATTGGCGAGTGAAGACAAACGATTTAGCAGGAGCAGCCCTGTGGTTGACAAGCACTGCCTGGAGTCATCACAGTCACACTTTGAGGAGAAAAAAGTCAGAATAAATGGACAAATAAGCAGAATGAAACCGAGCTTGGAGGAAAAACGTGTACAAGAAAAGCCAAAAGCAAGTCTAGAGAAGAAATTTATCACGTAATGAGGGCATTAGTGGGCCTACCCTGGACAATCACGGATAATGGTGTTAGGCACGGTGTGTGCACTTATGGTGTGTAAATCTTTTCTAACCAGCATTTTACTAGAATTTTCTTTTTTTTGTCCTTCTTTCTGAGCACAGAAATTCTTTATAAGGTAAATATTTCAGTTTAGTTCCAGGGCGAATAAGTCACAGGCAGATTTAGGAAAAGCTTCTAAGGAGACAAATGTGAGTGAGTGAGTGAGTGAGTGAGTGGGATTTCTCGTACCCATCACACTGAGATGTGCCCTTGCCATCATGGCTTTGGCCGTACTGTTGCCAAGCGAAGCTTCACAAATATACAACCCCGAGTCCGAAGAGGAGAGGGCAGGAATGGTGAGCCGATGCCCGACAGCCAGCCGACGCCCATCACGTTTCCACGTCACAACAAGATCTGCAACCGTTCTGAGTAAAGTGGAGTGGAGAGGGAAGAAAAACAAGAATCAAAGGAATTAGAGGGAAAAGGGAAATGTGGTGACAGCAGGCGATTAGGACATATTAAATCCATCAGTTTATTTGTCAATGAGGCAGTAAATGAAGGATGACAGTGTGTATATCAGCACAGTCAGCTCTACTCAGCATGAAGGAGCTTTAGTGGTTTGTTTTTAACATCAATGAAGGAAATAGGTTATGGTTTGTTAAAAAAAACACCCAAACGGCATTCTTTTGTCTGTTTATTTGTGTAAGACAGCATTAATGCATGGCAGCATCTGCCTATGAAAAACTCCACGACTCTGAGCTTCACTCAGCAGCTGCACCTAAACACCGAGTCTCTTTGGATAACTGAATTATTTCTTCTATCAAAGTTTGCAGCTGACTTGGCGGGACAACGGGACCTGCAGCTGTGCTCCAAGTCAGTTTTCTCCAGGACGTGACAAGCCTTTTAGAGGATTTGTCTACAAATGGTAAAGATATTAAAACATAACATAAAATAACAACAATTTCAATTATTTGACATCTCTTTTATAAAGACGTATAGATTTAAATGCTTGTAAAACCACAGCAATAGGATTTATTATCTTAGAAAAGTTTTATATTTATAAAATTATCCATGTTTTTAATTGTAGGCTGAAATCAGGCAGCATTAAAGGTAACATATTATGCAAAACTCACCTTTTGCACCCATTTTTGCAGCCATGTTGGTCTCTAGTGCCTCTATAAACACTTCAAACGTGAAAAAAAATCATCCATTCATTTTCTGTTTGTGTGTGGTTTTAGGAATTATGTGCCTAAAAAGGAAGCTTCAAGTTTCTTTAAGTGAGGCTCAATGAGCCACAAGTTCATCATAAATATACATACAATACATATAATAGCATTTCATTAAAACACAGTCAAAAAATAAAAGAATACTCTAAAGGACAAGCTTTAAAGCTCTTATAGTCATATCCACGGCCTTATTTCAGGCAGGCATTTAATCATCTCTGCTGGAACTGCAGTGGTGTGTATACAGTAACTAGTAATTATTGAATGTAGAAAGAAGATGATTATAGACGTTAGCACACCATTTGATTTTAACAATCAAACCCTTAGTTCTGCCAGACTCAGAAAGCTTTTGTGCCTCTCTGTTGTTTCCTGGCTACCAAATTACGCCTTTGGAGTTTTCCAGTCAGTGGATCTTTGAGCAGTAATATGGAGAGCATTGTTCCTGTCAGGAAGGAATAAAATAAAAGAGCAGGACAGCTTGAGCTAATCTGCATGCAGATGTGGAGCAGACTGAAAAGAACAAATTGCTTTGTGTTGAATAAAATTTTTTTGATCTGAACGTGTTTCTTCTCATCCTGATGACTGACGGTACCCTGCGCTACAATTCAAATAATAACTTATTTCATAACCTGAGCACTGCTTAATGGTCAATTGTTGGTCAGGAGCATTTGATGACCAATTATTGTATCTCAATGACACATATGAACACACACACACACACACACACACACACACACACACACACACACACACACACACACACACACACGCACACGCACACGCACACACACACACACACACACACACACACACACGCACATGCACATAAAGAAAAAAACTCTGTAGTCTAGTTAAACCAATTAAAAGCTGTTTCAGTGCCATTTTCTTTCATTTTTGGGCCAAATTTGGACTCACGTATGTGCTCATATGACAAAATTGATGATATTAGACATGCTCGTACATTTAGTAGTAATTATTTATTAGAAGTAATTATGGCCTCTATGCCACCATCAACCCCTAACAGCACAATTATAATAACTAATGTCTTAAATACATAAAAAGCATAGCAGCCAAGGCTAAAGGCTATCAAAGTGTATGATTATAAAAAAGTTAGACATTGGAGTGAAATCAGTTTAATATGAGTGATCTAATTCAACTATTTCAACAACATTTATAGAAAAAAAGAATTTGAAACATGATAAAATAAACTTTAGTGATTCATTGTGACAAATGTTGGTTTTTCTCTAATTTTTTCAGTAAAGCTAAACTCGTTCTATGCTGCACATAAATGTGTGTGTGTGTGTGTGTGTGTGTGTGTGTGTGTGTGTGTGTGTGTGTGTGTGTGTGTGTGTGTGTGTGTGTGTGTGTGAGTGAATAAGTGCTCAGCTCGGGACAATATGAATCTGTGGGAGTGTGTTTCATGTGTGCTGATATCAGATGGGACTTTTATCCATTTTTTTTTAGTTAACTTGGTGTGAATCTACTTCCCTTTTGACTGTGTGTGTGTGTGTGTGTGTGTGTGTGTGCACGCACATCCCAGTGGGTCTTATACTACAGAGGAAGAACTGCTGAGCACTGATTTTATACCGTGTCCTTTAATTACCCTGAAAGAAAACAGTGCTGTCTAGCAAAAATGGGATCGTACTCACTTGAAAGTGTGTGAGTGTGTGTGTATGTATGAATGAACACAAAGGAAATTTACCGGGCATTAGCAATGCACTCCATTGTAGCCTCCTTCCCTGCCACTACTGTCGTGTTCTTTGGTCCAATCACCATCGCCGGAGCCACAAGCTCTGACTCGGGATCTGCAGCAATGAAATAAAAAGTGTGAGAATGTTGAGCTCATAAATCATACTTGCACACGTAGCAGCATGATTTGAACTAGACATTCAGTAAGCCCCACACAAACAGGGCAACACATTTTCACATGCACGATCATGAAGATTTGGGTCTTTATTATCACACATTATTACACAAAACACACCATCAAAGTCTCCAGAGATTGTATCAAACACAAGGTAAAGGCAGCTTCTGTTTAAACAGACATGAACCCCACATTTAGATTATAATGGAACCCTGCAAACCTAAGCAAACTGGTTATGTTGATGGCCACTAGAGAGGATTCCTGGATTATCAAAAGTTACCTTGTAGGTAGTTCTTCTCTGAAGACAAAAATAGTCAAAAGACCCTCAGACACAAGTAGGTAACAGTATGCATGTTGGCACTAAGTGCCCACCCTCAAGCTAAAGCTAATATTTCAAAATAAATTTGATCAAGGGCCAGAGATTTTATTCCAGCAGACACCGATGGTGATCCAAAATAAAGTTCAAGCATTATCCATCCATCCATACATTTTTGGCTGCTTATCTGGGGTCGGCATGCAGGGGCAGTAGCCTAAGCCGGGAGGCCCAGACTCCCCTCTCCCGGGCCACTTGGGCCAGCTCCTCTGGGGGAATCCTAAGGCGTTCACTGGCCATCCATGAGACATAGTCCCTAAATCGTGTCCTGGGTCTTCCTTTATGTCGACTCCTGGTTGGACGTGCCCGGAAAACCTCACCAGGGAGGTGTCCAGGAGGGATCCTAACTAGATGCCCGAGCCACATTAACTGGCTCCACTTGGTTGTTTTCCACGAACGCTACTCAGCCTAAAACAACTCTGTACAGCATGGTTTGAATCAGCCAATTTGAATGCAGTTTTGTTCCCATGTCAGAAAGTGGGTGCACCCCTCATAGGTCTGGGGTGGGGGCTGTTTTACTCATGACAAAATAACATGAGGTGATCAGTAAACAGTGTAAGGTAACTTGTTTGATCCACAGAGACAAAACTCAGATGAAAAATGGTGGTGTTGCTGAACATTTTGACCAGTTTTATGACTTCTTGTCAGACTCTGAAACAGGAAACTGCTGCAGGCAGTAAAACAGAGAGCAAAAAACTTCAGAGCAACCAGTGACTCCGCCCCCTAGCCAATCAGCGGCCAGAATCAAGATGCCAGCCCGACTCAGCCTTGCCAGGTACCTCAACAGAGCAGGGGCTAAAAATAGGGAAGAAAGTAGAAGGAAAATACCGAACCGTGCCCTTGGAAACAGTGGTCGGGCAAGCTGCATCGGCCCTTGTTGCTCTTAGTAGTGCTCCTGGAAAACCACCTTAAGGGAGAGCCCAGCCACCCTGCGAAAAAACCAAATTTCGGACATGGATGGCAGAATGCCTGCATCACTGCAGATGCAGCACCATTCCGCCTGTCAATCTTGAGCTCCATGTTTTTCTCACTCATGAACAAGACCCCGGGATACTTAAACTCTTCCATTTGGAGCAGGACCTCATCTCTGACCTAGAGAAGGCATTCTACCCTTTTCCAACTCAAAACCATCCCCTCAGATTTAGACGAGCTGATATTCATCCCAGCTGCTTCAAACTTATCTGCGAACCACTCCAGTGAGATACAGAGATCACGTTCTAATGAAGCCAACAGGACCACATCATCTGTAAAAAGCAGAGACTCAATCCTTAGGCCACCAAAATGGACCCCCTCGAATCGGTGACAAAGGGCAGCCTTGGCGGAGTCCAACTATCACCGGAAACAAGCCTGACTTGCTGCCGCCAATGCAAACCAAGATCTGACACCAGTCATATAGGGATCTAACAGCCTGTATCAGAGGGCCTGGTACCCCATGCTGCTGGAATTCCCCCCAAAGGGCATCTCCAGGGATGCGGTCAAATGCCTTCTCCAAATCCACAAAACACATGTAAATTGGTTGGGCTGGTTCAGTGTTCTGCGGCCAGGATGTAAACCAAATAGCTTCTCCTGAATTTGAGGTTTGACAATCTGTCTGACCCTCCTCTCCAGAATCTTTGAAAAGATTTTACCCGGGAGGCTCAGGAGTGTTATGCCTCTGTATTTGGAACACATCCTGCAGTCCTCTTTTTAAATAGGGGCACCACCAATCCAGTGGAACTGCTCCCGATGTCCACGTGATATTGCAGATGCGCGTCAACTAACACAACCTTACAACATCCAGAGCCTTAAGGAACTATGAGTGGATCTTACCCACTCCATCTTCCCACTGAGGAGCTTTTTGACCAACTCAGTGACCTCAGCACCAGAGATTGGACAGTCCAAGCCAAAGTCCCCATACTCTGCTTCCTCACTGGAAGATGTGCCGGTGGCATCATTGTATCTTAATTTATTCATATTTAAAATGGCTTTGTTTTCCATCTAAATGGTTTTGGTTGTAGTTTTAGTTGTGTTTGGAGAACGTAAAAAAATGATTGATATATGGGACATGAATTTTGCTGCTAAACTTCAAACTCTCCCAATTGGGGGACATTAAGGCGTAAAGGGTTGCCAGGCCAGATGTGGCCCGCGGGTTGCCAGTTGAGGTTTACTGCACTAAAGTCTAAAAATACATCTAAGAAGGTTATTCCAACAAATTCGTGGTTCGACACTTCATGACTTTTTAACAAGCTGAATCATTTCTGGATTACAGTAACAGTGGTGTTTTCTAAGGCGTTGCTTACATGATCACTGCAGGACCAGCAGAGGATAACAGTCAACAATGTACACCAGGTACTTGAGTCCCCATCTAAGATGCCAAAATAAGAAAAAAGTCAAAGGTTTTTAATTGTGCACGTCAGCCTACATTCATATCTGTAAAGGTAAGTAAACAAGCTTCTGCTTTGAGTTGCTAAATGATGATACATGCTAGCTTTTTACTAACTAAAGATACAACAGTGTGGAAGTAACACCAACTAGTTGTCAGAGTGTTAGCTTAAAACAACAAGCCTTTTTTGTTTCTGAAATGATAACACTGCTAGTGTTGCTCACTCACTATGCTAGTGAAGAGCCAACATAATCGTTTTGTAACCCAAAGCAGAAGCTTGTTAACTTACCTTCGGAGTTCATAATGTAGGTAGACACATACAATTTTAGGGTTTTGTCTGTATTTTGGTGTCTTAGATGTGACCTGGATTATCTGGTGTGTATCATCATTGGCCGGCCATGCAGCGATCGTGTGACAAATTCCATAGTGAACACAAAAGTTCAAATTTTCTAGTTGCAGTTTCGTCATGAAGTGTCTCAATTGTTCTTTTGTGAAACCACTCTCAAAATTATCTCACATATCTTGCATATTGAAATGTAGGTGTTCACAATACCTACAAGGACTGTCGTCTATTTTGTGAGAAAAACTCGTCAGTCAGCGTTGAATATGTTCAGAGTTCTAACGACATAAACGCCAGATCCTGTGACTTGGAAGGAGAGAGAACTCTTGTGAATGAAATAAATTAAAATAACAATAGATATTTATTTAAAACTTTAAGATAGAGCTTTAACATTGATCTCAGAGATCGTTGAGTTAGAAACTTGACATGACCAGTTTCATATTTGACTCTACTCTGCAGCCCTCTACTGGTATTTTTGTAGAGACGGTAGGTGGCCTAGGGGATGCACTTTACTTGCTTTCCGCCTGTTAGCTTTTATGCTAGCAGTTAGCATTTTCAGTTCGCAAATTGTAAATGAAATGCACACGAAGAAGAAGAAGAAAAAGAAGTTTATTTTCTGTTGGCTTCATGGTGGAGCCTGGAAGTAAACGTAAGAGAACGTCTTTGGAGGCGAAGCAAAGCGCTAAAACCAGAGTGAACATCAGCGTGGCCTACACTACTTTGAGGGAGCTAACGGAGGCTACAAAATCTAAAACTGATGGTGACCTGGCCTTGTTGCTACTTGACTTGTAAGTAATAATATATTTTGTTCAACAGTGTTGATATTTTTACTTTGTGGTTTATTTTAGTATTAGTTGGCTCATGTTAGCGTTAGCTCGTTGTTAACGCTAGCTACAGCAAGTTGCAGCAGGATTTTTTATGACAGTGTTTTCCCACTTTTAACCAGTAGGGGGAAGAGCAGGAAACTGCTCACTTTTACTTTGATGAAGTAGTGCGCTCCTGCTTTTTCCATCTTCGCCGCCTAGCCAGGATCAAGCCGCTGGTGTCGCGGGCTCACTTGGAGACTGTAGTCCATGCTTTTATTACTTCTAGTTTAAACTACTGCAACTCCCTTTACTCAGGATTTAGCAAGGCTGCACTTGCTCGGTTCCAGCTGGCACAAAATGCTGCAGCTAGATTCCTGACTGGCACCGGAAGGCAGGAACATATCACGCCTGTCTTGGCTCATCTGTGTTGGCTTCCGGTTTCCTTCAGAATCTGGTTCAAGCTACTTGTTTGTGTGAAAGTCTTTGCAGGGTTATGCTTCTAGCTATCTCTCGGAGTTACTCGATACATCCCATCACGTGCTCTAAGGTCAACATAGCAAGACTTACTAGTTGTTCCACGTGTGAAATGCAAAGAGGTGGAAGGGCTTTCTCAGTTTGAGTCCCAAAGTGAAAGAATGGCCTTCCACTCGAGGTCAGACAAGCACCCTCACTGACTGTTTTTAAGAGTCGAATGAAGACTCACTTTTATACTGTGGCATTCCCTCAGCATGTGAAGTAGCCATATTTCTAGACAATATAGTTTAATTTTATCCTGCTTTAGTGTGTTATTTTATCAAAAATGTTTAGCTTTTATCCTCTGTTTTTGTTTGTCGTAATGCATATTTAGTGGGTTAGGGTTAACCCTAACCTTGCTTTGGTCAGTGATGTTTAAATGCTTTTATGCATGTACAGCACTTTGGTTCACCTTCTGGCTGATGAAAAGTGCGTTATAAATGAAGTTGATGATGATAATGAAATTTAAGGAACTCCTACGTAAATATCCTTTGAAATTTGTTGCCAACAGCTGTAGTCCAGCACGGCTTAATATGAGATTGTTTGA